AACAAGGTACTATTGGTTAATACATATTGTTTTACATTCTTTTCCATGTACACAATGCCATTGTTTGTCTTTATTCTCGCTGTTCCAGGAGAGTTTCAAGGACACTGCCCTTAGAATTATTGCTTGGATTGAAAGCTGGGTTGTGCAGACAGGCTTTTACTAAAATATCATGCCCTTGTTCTGCTAAAATATTCTCTACATCTGACTTTGCTGTCCACCCCATTACTATTTATTATTTCAATATGTGAGTCAAGCTCTTTCCAAACACATGGAATGATGCAGTTATTTTTAACAGCCTGCATGGAAATGTCTTTCCCTGTCAAGCCAATATATCACAACTGAATTCAGTGCAGCCCTGGCAAATTACACACTGCTATGTAATCCAAGCAACAGCCCAAAATGATGAAGTAAAAGGACACATGAACTGTCAATTCAAAAAAACTTAGGCCAAAGTTGCTAGGAAGAATGTGATTAAAGAAAAAGTGTTGAAATGAACATGTTAGTAAACAGCATGTCCAACGGCTGCCTCTTTTCCCTTGTAAACACTGCCAGCTCTTTATAATGAATATTGTTACTATCTAAATGAAATTTGAGTTTAGATTACCTTTCATTTTTCATATTTATCAGAGGAATCATTAAAGACAGAATCAAAAACAACGGAAAGGTTTGAGAGGTACAGATACTAAAATTTAAGGTCTTCTAATTATAGTCCTACATTTTATTTCATTTTCCTCGTTCAATTCAGATTTTATAATGACAACTACCTGCTTATACTTCACTAATCAAATAATGAAAAGGGTCCTAGGACTACTATGTCATTACATGTATTTTGTAGAATGGCTTTAAAAACAATTTGTATTTATGGGAATACAAATATAGATTTTGAGGATTTGTAATTTGTCAAAGAAAATACACTTGCCTTCCAGAACAGAATTGCTAGAAGTTACAGACAATGGCATTCATCTTGGCTAACTTTATGTACAAATACTAATGTTCTGTTTATTTAGGCAGCAGGACTGCTTAAATTTGGAAAGATGGGATAGCATTCTAGTAGGAATGCGTTTTTTTCAGTTTTAATACACTTCAAATAATTACTATAAGGGAACCAAGAGCTTTACAGTTTTGGTTTTTCCCTTCATAAATTTATGTTCCTGATACAAAGTACAAACAATAATCCCAGCTGTCTGCAATTTAGCTCACCTTATCATCCTGAGCAGTCCAACTCTGTCTTGTAATGGACTTTGTATTTAGGTTCTTTTTCCCTTTGAACCGAATATTGATGTGAAGGAGGCAGTTTTCTCTTGTTCAGTCTTGGTTGTTTATTCTTTTCTTATCAGCATTACAAGGTACAAGGAGCTATGTGCACTATGATAGAAAGGTGTAAAATGGCTAACAAAGGTCTTTTATATGTCCATTTACCCAATTAACAAATGCCAAGTAAATTATTTTTCTTAGTGACCCAATGACCCAACACCTGTGTACTGCACTGTGGCATTCCTTATCCAATCACTTACTACCACCCAAAAACCTCTAGAAGAACATGAAGAAGAAAGAAGAAAGGACAACAGACAATACCCTAAATCCTCCAACTTGTCTTCTGTTCTCTAAACTACTTTTTCACTCAGTGATTAACGAAAACTTTCTAATCTACACACTTACACTTAGCTTTTTCCATCTAACTTTAACATTTGTTCTCATGTATCACCAGGAAAACATGCTCATGAATTTCATGTTATATGAAATTCAGTGTTTTTCTGGATCCCAAAACAAAGTATCAGAAACAAGGGCACACACTCTGTGTCCTAGACTCCAACACAACTCCAGCTGTAGAAACAGTAGCAGAAACACCTGAAGGAGGAAAATGAGCAGCTTAGCTTCTCTAAAGCAAACTCTAGCCACAGCAACATGCCACTCATCACATTTCTGATTATCATTGCTTTATGCAGCCTTTTCTGCCTTTTTTAGAGTTTTCCAGCAGTTCCAGTTCATTACAAAAGCTCTCAGAAGGAATGTAGCTACACATTGCCCAAATAAGTTGTGAATACCTCATCCCTGAAAGTGTTCAAGACCATCTTGGATGGGGCTTCCTGGCTCCCTCCATGAGGAGAGGCATTAATAGTGCCAGAACCATGGCTGCCACCACTGCTTGTGCAGCAGTGGCAGGGCTATATGGCAGACGGTGAAAACACAGTGAGTAACTCCCCAATGTGAAACCTAGATGAAATCAACCTATCGGTGCTGTGGGATCCTGCAGGAACCTTTGCATTAGTGGAACTTCTTGTCAATGGTACCTACAAGCATCAGTTTTTCTTCTAGTCAGAGAAGAGGAGGAAGTGAGAATGTGTGAGGGAAAGCAACATGGCTGCTGCTCCAAAGTCAGTGGAAAAGAAGGGGAGGTGGTGCTGCAAGCGTCAGAGCCAAAATTCCTCTGCAAGCCATAGTGAGGACTATGGTGAGACAAACTGGCCTCCTGAAATGTATGAAGTCAACAGGGAATGGAGAGATCCACTTGCAGCCCATGGGAAAAGTGATCACGCTGGAGTGGGTAGATGCTAGAGAAGGCATTCTCTAGCATAGATGCTAGAGAAGGTTTTCCAGCAGGAAACCTGAATAAAGAAAGAGCATCCCTGCTTCCAGAGATAGAGAGAGAGGGCCCTTGCTTCCAAACTGGAGCAGTCTATCCTTAGAAGATGTCACCCAATGGATGTGTGACCCATGCCACAATAGTTTCGGGAAGACTGTTTGCCTGTGGAAAGGGACAGCTTTAGAGAAATGACTCCTCACCCTGGGCAAACAGAAGATCTCAAATGATGAAGTGACCAGAATCCCCATGCCTTGTGTCTCTGCACTGCCTTTGGGAAGGAGTGAGGGCTGGGGGGAAAAAAGGTATTTTAAGGACTTATTTTACTTTTAATTATCCTCCTCTGACTCTCTTAATAATAAATTTCCTTTATACCTTTAAATGTGAATATGTTTTGCCCTTAGAATGTTTTTCTCCCAGTCCTTATCTCAAGTCATGGCCTTTTGTTAATTTTTTTCCCTTTCCTCTGCCCAGCTATAGCAGGAGAGGGTAAGTGAATGACTTCTGTGGGTGCCTGGCATTTGGCCAGTGTCAAACCATGACGGGGACCCAGCCATGGTTTTGCCCTCTGCTCTGTGTTCCTCCTTTGGCATTTGTGAGAAGTGTGGTGGTGTTTTAAACTTGAACTTAAGACGTGGAGATCAGTGTCACTTTAGGGTAACAGAATGAAAAGTAATTGGCAATGATGGTTGTGTAATAGATGAAGGGATGCAATGTCCGAATCAATTAGAAAACAGGGGAAATGAAGCAGCCCTATTCACTGCTCCAAGGTTTAGCTGGTGTCCGAGCAGTGTTGCTCTGGTAAGTGATTTTAAAATTTTGTTAGCGTCTGATCCTACTGGCTAAGGCAATCATATAGAAATTGAAAAACCTCATTAAATCTTGTCTTTTGTTTGGGGAGAGAGAAAAGAAGAAGAGTTCTAATATGTAATAATGGACTTCACTCTTGATGATAAAACAGGAGACAATTGGAAATTTTCCTGTTTTATACTTTCCTAGAAATAGGAAATGTTGTAAACATCTGAAAATGTTACACTTGGAAGGTACTCCCTTGATGACAACTCACCTAAAATGTCATACTTCCCCTTTTTCTGTAGAAATAACATGCTGAGAAATTGTGTATCATTGACTAAGGTGAAATCTTAAGCAAGAATCAAATTCTTAATAAATAAGAAGCACTATGCACAGACATTTATTCTTCACAGTTAGTAAAGCTTAAAGCTGTCTGGTTTTTCTGGCATCTCATGGGATTTCACTGTGTCAGATAGTCAAGAAATCAAGTGAACATAAGTTTTATCATTTATTGAACATATGCTTCTTTTATTCAATGGGACAAAATTTAGGTTTGAAGAATTGTAATTTCTTTCAGTCCAAGCAGACAGGTCTCTCAATACAGGTATTAAATGGCATTTATTTTTTAACAAAACTATTCTTTATATTGATCTTTTTAATTTGTTCATCTCTACATTACTTCCTTCTGTAGTCAGTTGCTCTATAAAACTAACAAATCCTCATTGGAGAGCTGTTAACCAGAGACTATTTGAACTATTTTATTTCAACTATGAGTTGAACTATTTCACAGTTCAAGTGAAAATGTACATAGTGACTTGCTTGGTTTGGTTTCTCCTGTTCTCCATAATATCTGAAAACTTTGTATTATTTAGTAATTCAATGCAATATAACTGACATGAGAAAGGTTTCAAAACTGATGTCTGAAGTTTTAACTTTCCTTTACAGGAAAATTATTTTGCTATGTTTCCTGCCACCACCCCCCTGAAGAGTTTCAAAGTCTTGCAAGACAATTTGATGCTTTCAGGATAGTTTCAGTGCATGTTCTTCCTTTTTTGTCATTTTGAATCTTAAAAGTTTCAGGAAATATAGAAAATTATGCTTAAAACAAGCAACAACTCAGTGAAAGGAAATTCACTGCGTATAACATGATAGCAGAGTGCCTTCCCCATAGAGAAGTCCTTTTTATGTGTAAGAAGAGAAAGGCATTAAAAGGAACATCCGGCTTGCAGCTTGGGAGGTCCCATCAGAGAGAGAGGATGTGGACAGGTGAAGTAAGCTCAAGCAGTTCATAAACATGTCAACTCACAGCCTCAGCCTGTCCCAGAATCCACAAAAGTCACAGGGGTTCTGAAAATGCTTTTGTTCACCTTCTTTGGCATTTAGATAGAATATCTTGATTATGTATATGGAAGTAATCATTTACAAGGGAGTGCTCTAACAAGAATGTATATTGAGACATTCCCTGTATAAAATTTGCTGAAAATGCAGTATACAAAGTAGTTAACAGTTTGCAGGATATGACCTCTTGGTTTTTCATTGTTATCCTGAATTTTCACGTGACTTATTTGATATTTTATCTCAATTATATTGATGTTTTTTAATTATTATTTTTATTTTTATTTTTCAGGTCTGGCAAAATGTCTCAGCAGAGAAAGAGAATTTTCATGTGGTCTTGAAAAAAGAAGAAAATCAAAGCACCCAGGAGTGTGATTCTCAAGATGTAAGATTAGCTTACCTGAAAAACAGGGCCTAATCTAGGCCTAATCTGTAAGAGAACATGAATGCTTTAGGCAACTCTCAATGGGACTTTTCCTATTCAAGATGGTAGACATATTTTATGAGCCAGTTATGTATTGAAGTGCTGAGGAGCAAAGGCTCTTTGCTGTGAATCTGTGCGTATATAACATCTGGGCTTCTTTTAAAAATTGCTTAATAGAACTGGTAGAGCTGTTGCAGGAAGAGTAGTGGTGCATATTACCACTTACATATTTTTACGTATCTTTTTATTTGCATATCTTATACATATGTAAACATAAAGATATTTCTTTACATATCTTTACATATCTTTATATTTATTACTAATTTATTTATTTTTAATAATCAGGCACAGCCATCACAGATGCTTCATTTGATAAAGCAAAACCTTTGGGGAGATGTATGACATGACAGCATGATAGTTGAAAGGATGTGATATCATTCACTGCCAGTCTAGAAAAGCTGCAAGCTGTGTTTTTCTTATTATAGCTCTGACAGAAAGCTAAATCTGGTGCTTTTACTGAGACAATACACCCAGTCAAACAACATGATAAGAGCTCTTAACAGAAATCTCAAATGCATGTATCATGGCTGTAATTATAAAGATACAAATAGAACAGGAAAAAACCCAGAAAAAATGAGCAAGACAAATTTTGTTGAGAGAGTCTGCTCTGACTGTTGAGGATTTTCTGCTCACTAGTTCAGAAAGTATAGTGCTACTTTGACTAATTTGCAAGTGAAATATATCTATTGAATATATTGTTATATCTTGAGATAAAACAAAATCCTGTGGATGTAACTGGGTAGCTTGCTATTAGTGATCATGGCAGTGTGAAGAAAACTAGAAAACAATTTTAGATAGTTCAGTATAAAATAAATTATTTTTAAAAATTATACACTATCCATTTATTGCAAATACGTTACAAGTTTATTCAGTTTTAAGTTACCTCACCTCTGCCACATACTCTACAGAACAAGAAATTGCATATCCGTAAGTGTGCATACTTTTCTGTTGCACATTTCTTAATGTCTATAGGTAAAGAAAACTTATTTTGCTAATAAAAATTGAAGGAAGAAAAGAAAAACATGTAAAATTATGAAGATGGAGTGAACTCTGTTTAGATTATGACTAGAGTTATACTCTGACTTAGTTATTCCTTGGAAAAGTTATGGAAGATTTGATGAAATGTAGAATACTTCCAGTAGAGACTGAAGTAATTTAGGCTAAATAGTTGTGCAAGGAAGTTTAAACAACTCATTTTTATAGAAGTGAATATATTAAAAGAGAAAGAAAAAGAAAATAACTATTAACATGTTTCAAAAATCAAATGAGTATTTAATTTCTGTATCAAGTACTGTGATGGAAGACACCTATAAGAGTCACTTTTTCATAAAATCAAGGTTTTAGTTATTTAGATTAGCTGGTGGTTGTTTTTTGTGCTTCTAGCAACTTGTATTTTTAGCTGTTTAGTCAGTCAGCAGACAGACACACTGTCCATCTGAACATCGGCTAACGTGGACATAAAAATAGTGCAGGTGATGACATTGGGCTAGCCATCTCTTCATCATCATTATCATCTCACATTAACATAGAAAGAGAGACACAAGGAAGAATTCAAATTATTAGCTTTGAGAACTGAACTAAAAATGTCTCTTTCCACAATTAACCTTCATATATTGGTATTAGAGATACCACCTTAAGTTCTGAAAGAACTGGAAGGAATTTATTTTCTCAAAGGATCATATCACTTCAGTAATACAAAGCTGCAATTTGTACCTGTGAACACTATCACTTGGAGAAAATTCGACACTTGGGAAGAGTTTTTATTGTATTTTCGTCATTACTTGGCCATGTGTAATTTTTTTTCTGAAGTTTTTACAGCTGCTTAACTCCCAATGAAGGGAGATTAAGGTTGGACGGTTAAGGACATATGACCGGCTGTAATGCAGCATTTTTAAAGAAAAATTAGTGAAGATGTACTTAAAACTCAGTTGCTTAGAAACCTAATATTTCAGCAACCCTTTCTCAGAACTTTACAACTATTTTTTTATTGTGTCTCTGATAAATAAAATGTGATTTATATTTTGGAAGAATTAGGGTAGTGAAAACTAACTAGAGAAGAACATGTACTCTTACAGATATTAAGGCAAAAAATAAAGCAAAATGGTTAATTGCTGGTATTTTTAAGTCTGTATGGCTGAGCATCTCTGTCTTAAATTTGTGATCTATCTGCAATTTTTTATTTATCGGATTTATGCCTGTTCACAATAATCAGTGTAGTTTACATTAGAACAAATACAAATGAAAATTTATTGACAAATGGAATGCAGACTAGCAAATCTGGAAATTAGACACTGCTGATATTGATCTGTAAGGAAATTTGACACAGAACTAGTAATAGCCAGAAGTAGGTAGGGTATCCTGTGATAGATCATCTGAAATTCATCAAAAACCAAAAAATGCTAACTTCAATATTCTTGTAAAAGTTTCCATTTTTTAGAGTATTTGTACTTTATTAGACACATATTGTCAATACTAATTTTTCTTACCCTTATCCAGAGATGTTTTCCTGTGTCTGGCTCCTGAAAATATTTGGGCAGAACTCTCCCCTGTATCCCTTCCTTTTCGTATCTTCCCAAAAGCTTTTGGGATTTTGGCTTTTATACCAGAATTTACTTTATTCCCTTTACATGTCAAATAATTCTTATGTATGGATGCTAAATATGAGCAAAAGCAGGGAGCACAGTGACTGTAGAAAAGCAGGCTGCATAGCTTTCTCAGTCTAGCCTGAGAAAGTGGCCTGGGAAATCATAAGGAAGAATTAAAACAATCCTCAGAGATAGAAGACAGCCTTGCAGGTGCTGTTTGTCTGTTCCTTGTTTTCTTGAAAGAGAAGGTTGAGGGGTGGTGTACCCCACTGACCAATGATGGTAATATGTTAGTTCACTAACCAATAAGAGTTTTACCTTTCTGCACTTTCATGTATTGGTCTATAAAAGAAGATCTGAGGTAATAAACCTCGCTCTCCTGTTCAACTGACAAGAGAGTCCGTGTTGTGCTTCTCACTGTTCCAAATAGTGCGACATCTATGCATGTAACATATCATTTAAAACTACCTATTTGGTATTGCTAAAACATCAAAGAATTTATAAAATTATTCTTTTTCATTTTTATAAAATGATTCTGTTGTCATGTTAAATATTTTGTTTTGTCCTTGTAGAATCTTCTTTGATAAATAGAAGTGATAGTGCTTTTATTTACTGCCTTGATTTCCTGAAGTAAAAAACCACTACATGTTCATTAATCATTCAATGACAAAGGACATTGTGTACTGGAGCCAAAATTGTACACATTTCTAAGCAATCACAGCATTTTGCTTCATTTTCTTAAATCGGTTCCAGTTGCAGAGCTTTGATCACCTTGCACTCTCCAATTGTTTACCAAAGCAAGTAATAAGAGAAAAAAAGTAACTATTTTTATAACAAAATTTCAGACTAATAAAATCCTTAAAGTAAATTTGACTCTGTAAATGAGGACTAGGAAGGTCATAAGAAGTTATATCATCTGAGTTTAACCATCTCCTCAGTACACTGTGATCTAAAACAGAAGGCTATGAAAAACTGCAGAGGTGTCTTCTGAAAAAGTATATGCACATTTCACATACTTCTTGCTCTGTATCTTTCTTCTAAACAGTGAAGGTTAAAGCAGCTTCCAATACAGATCTGTAACAAATTCATGAGCAAATCTGATAAACATATCTTTGAATAAACTGTGAACCTAACTTGGTCAATGACAACTAAGATAATCAGTTTGTCAGTTGACCTAACCACACCATCTTTTTCTTCTATATGTGGTTTATTTTTTATTAACTCAGTACTTTCTCTCCCATCACACTCTACAAACACCTTCCGTATCTGCTTTTTGTGCCCTCTGAAGCCAAAAGGAGTAGCGATGCAAAGGAACACTAGAACTCTAATGTCTGGTTAACTAAATCTGTATGATTCTCTTTAGGAGCAGTGGAAATATTTTCTATTTGCAAAAGCAGTTATAAATGCCACTTAAACTTGATTTCATGTTCACTTGTGATTTGATTATTTGACCTTAAATTGTTATGAATTTTTTGACCATAAAGCCAGTTCTTGCTGAGTTGATGCAGTAGAAAACCCTTCTAGTTACATTGCTCAGCTGTTTTCAGATAAAGTTGCAAGTCCATAGCCGATGGACATGATGAGTTCTAACTAGTTTGTTGAAAATTTTAAAGATGCACACTTAGTTTATCCACCTTTGTCATTTATCCATCCAGCTGTGAAGCTCTCCAACTTTGCAGTGTTATTTACTAGAACTGAATACCATACCTTCTCAAATTTTGTGTGTATTACTGATCAAGATGCAGATTTTATAACCAGAATTTCACACACATACTTTGTTAATTGGACTGCATGCTATAGTGAAGAAAGCAACAGGGCATTTCAAGGCATAGCCCCCATCTCAATTTTTTTGTCATGTTAAATTTCTCACTTTCTGCTCTTGATTTTTTTTATTTTGCAGAATGTATTGTTTAAAGGAAAATGCATTTTTATGAAAATTCATTTTACAAAGAGATTATTAGTATGTTTCCTAAATTTTATGTAGACCAACTAACAAGTGTTCAACATCACTAAATTTGTTCTGTTTCTCTGCCATATAGAAGAAAATAATAATAAAAATTGTGTTGTGCTTAGCCATAAAAATTGTAAACTAAATTTTGGGAAAAATAAAAATTGGGCAAACCAAATTTTAAGGAGATGTTAAGAAACTATGCAATTTGGAAAGAGCACAGTGAAAACAGTGAAATGGTCTATCCACCTATCAAACACACTGGATTAAAAGTGTTTTTTTCCTGCAATCTCTCTTTGGAAAAGATTTTGCTTTCATACTTAGAATTCTCAGTGCTGTGTTTTAGAGCTTTTAATGTTGAGTCTTGAAATGTTAGATCTCTCTTGATGTTTATGATAAAAATACTGTATATGTAATTTATTATGTTTGTTTTAAAAATACGACAATTTTTGCAAATTATAGGGCAGATATTCCAGACATACCACTTAGAAAACTTAATGTTGAATACACAGAGGAAATATAGAGATTATTCTGTGAAACTGATTTGTTCATGGGTGAAATTTTGAGATCTGGCACTAGTGGTTAAATGCAATTTATAGAATTATTTTAAGTTTTTATTACAATGAATTAAGGAAAGGGTAGGAAAAAGAGGAGGCAGGGCTCTAAACATCAGAGAAATCTATAGTTTTTTGTCTTATTTCATTGCTTTGAGTCATAAAACTACAAGGACTAATCATTTACTGTGTGCGTGGACAAAACTGGCTATGATGGCAAGTGTTGTAGGTTTGCTTCCTGAATTGACATTAAAGTGGATTGCTTGTGTGGACACATGCAGATGAAATAAGGATAAAATATAACTGATCAAGAAGTCTTTATTAAGAAAATATCTCTAGCAGAATCACTTTTCATCTCTGATGAACCTATAAATGGGACAGTTTCAGCTAAAGCTTTGAGAAATATTAAGCTTATCTTGGGATGAAGAAAGCAATGAAATATTCAAAATGCCCCTTCCAACTTGGTGAATTTTTTGACCAATGAACTAACTGAGTCTCCAAAATGTTAGGAACCGTGCTTCTCCATGAGATCAGGACTTCTGCCATCCCTGCTCTCTCAACCTCATGCTCATTAGAAAGGGATGCAGAAGAAAACACAGAAAATAGTTAGGAAGAAAAACACATTTAGTTCTAAATGAAAATGGCAGGAAGTAAACTTCTGCAATTAAGTTAGAATTTCAGAATATTGTTGGATTTTTTCTTTTGTTGTGCTGTCAGTTTCACAAATGCAGAAGAGTATTTTTTAATAATCTTGTATGCGAAGTTCATGAGAAGTCAGCATTTTGCCATGCTAACAATAACTTAAACTTTTTAAATTGTTGAGGTATTTTAGTCATCCAGTATTTTTCATCTAGATCAAAGCATGGTGTTTTGAATTGTCTTCTTACTTTATATAAGGTCTTGCCCTCCTTTTGGTGGCATTTGGTCTTGCCCACCTATGCTGTATTTTCTCCCTTTTGATCTGCACTCCTTATCTACCTGTTACTTCAGTCACAAACAAGAAAATAGCAACATTATTACTGTCTTGACCTCACATTCACATACTGCCTTTCTGTATTTCTGAAAAGATATTAGCTAATGTACAAAGGGTCATCACCTGGCTGTACATTAGCTGTTGGTGTTTGAGATTTTTCTTCCTAAAAAAATTTTAGTATGTAGTTTAAGAGCCTGCTTAAATTTCTCTGGAAGCACTAAGGAGAGGGACAAGTAAAAAATAATTTCATATTTATTCCAAACTCATTACACCTGCATTGCTTCCAGAGATAACTGTGTTTTGTTCAAAGTCTTCAGATGGTGAGAGAAAGGTAGTGCCTCTTCCCTGCCCTTGCTTGAAGCCAGCACAGATTTAAAACTTACCTGTGAATAATAGAGATTATGTGCAAGCAGAACTCCTAAAACTTTCTTCCCAATAGTGGGGGAAATAATCCATATTGTGAAATGTTATGTTACACTTGGTATGAAAACTAGAACATCCTTGAAGTATACCTGGCAATATTTTAAATTACAACCTGCCTTGTTATGATCGTACAAGAGGATTCAATTGAGTTGTATTTAGCTAACAGGACTGACTTGAGATTAGGTGGGATTTTTTACATTCTAAATAGCTTCTTCAAAGATGCTTTTACTGTTTTGTTAGCATTTTATTAACATTTCAGTAATAATCTTTCAAAAAAAAATTCACTCTTTGGAAGAAAAGCAATTTATCTTTCTCTGATAGAAATTGAGAAAACTTTTTTTTGCCCCATTGTGTGTCTCTTTGTTCAAACATATGTTGAGGGGCATTATTTACTGTTTAGTAATCACAGCACAAGGTACTGGAATGCCTGCTCTTGTGAGGGAACAAAGAGTTCCTCCCGGACATGACCCTCAGACATTGAAACCTTGATTCAAAGTTTGGCATGATCCAAGTATCTCTTCCAGTACGTACTTCTAAAATCTCATTTCCATGAAATAAAAAGCCACCCTAACAACATTTCAACACCTTTACTTTCCAAAAGCAATTATTTTTGCTTTTTGATCATTTCTACCATGTCAAGCTGTCATTCTGTCCTTTTGTAATGAGTGTTCCTCTCACAGGAGGGAATCTGACAGAAAGTCACATAGACAAACGTACAAAACAATTCACTACTTAGCTTAGAGGGAACTAGCCACTATAACAAAAGTTTAATATTTTACTTTCTTTGTCTGTCACCTAAGGTTGTAAAAGGTATTGTAGTATATTTGGTTTAAATTTCTCCACTGGTCTTTAGCTGAGGGACACAAAGATAGATGTACTGTGTGTATTTGTATATTTATGCATTTATATATGCATATATATGTGTATATATATATATATAAGCATATAAATACACACAGAGGGGTGTGTGTGTGTGTGTGTGTGTGTGCATGCATGTATTTATACATATGTCTGTGATCATATGTGAATGGGATTCAGTTTGGTTTCTGTTAAACCCAGTTTACAGATACAGTGGGTTATGTTAATACTCATCTGACTCAGTTTAGGAAACAAACTGATAAAAAGCCACAACCACTGTATATGTGCGTGTGTGTGTGTATGTATTGTATGTATGTATGTATGTATGTATCTATCTATCTATCTATCTTTCTATATATATATATATATACACACACATAAATATATACGTAAGTTTACATATACACACACAAATATGTGTTTGTGTGTGTGTGTGTTTGTGTGTGTGTGTGTGTACACATCATCAATAGGAGCTGGTTACAATCCTGGCTATTGAACTGTTGTTGACTGATGGCATATTGAAAGTCATTGCTATTGTTCAATCTGTAATTTATTTGGAAATTATATACAATGTTTCACAGTGACAAGGAATCAATAATGAATGTTATACTTTAACAACATAAAGACATTCTTTAGAAAAAGTCCCTACTATCTCTCTCTAACAGTGATCCATATGGTGTGCTACTAAAAGGAAAAGAACTCTTGAGTGTACAAATTTGAAATACTCCAGACTTAAGTCTTTATTGGTCTTTTCCTATTAAGATAGCCTTTGTTGTCTGGTCTATGAAAAGAGTATGCAAGACTACTCACTCATAAAGCATTGGCTTTATAATTTGCTTTTATTTTCTCTAAGGCAGATCTGTTTTTTTTTTTCTTCCTTTACATATGTCTTAAGCAGTTGAACTATAGCTTTATTAATGTCAATTAATAGTTTTTCCTTCCTATCTCCTATAAATTATGCTGGTGAAATATGTTACCTGATTTCACATTCCAGTATGTACAGTCAGAGCAAATTCTGGATGTATAAATTATCTTATATTTAATTCACATTATTTCTGTCCTCTTCATGATACAGTTTGGAATACTGTTCATTGTTTGATCTATAGTATCTTTTGACCTCAAGCTGCAAATCTAGAAGTCACCCAAACCCTCATTTTTTCTGAACATGATTAATCTTGAAATATTTTTTTAAAATCTAGATTAATAGTAAATAATTTAAATGGAAGTTTTGGCAGGACTACATTTATAAGGTTTTGAAGTACTAAAAGTCTACCAAAAATTGCTATTCTCTCATCTGACTTTCTAGTCTTCATCTAAGACAAACCACACATTTGTTTGATATTTTGTTTGATTTTTTTTGTCATGAAAGGAGTAGATGCTTTATGAATAGACTTTATTTTAATCAGTATTGCCTTGATTATTCCCTATATTAATGCAACTTATATTTTCCATTGTCTAGAGTGGGAAAATATGAAAAAGAGTTCCCCACATGAAATCTATTTGCATCTTCTCATAGGCTCAACTTAACTAGCTTAAATATTGCTAAAGCCCCACACTTTTACATTGGAAAGCGTCTTTGATGACTTAAAACTTTTAAAAAGCCCTGTCATTTTCACTCCATTTAAATGTATTAGTTTTAATAGGAAAACAATTAGATAAATTTCAATGTGGACTCAGATTAATGACCAAATATTATGACTATTTTACTGTATTTCATGTTTCAACTCCTTTTGCTGTGGTATCACTAATCCTGGTCCAAAAGGGACTTTGATTTAAGTACAGTAGAATTTTCAGTGTTGTGTAAATATCTGGTTTCATATCTGGAGATATCCTTGGTTAAAAATATACTTTGTAATTTTATTTATGCTGTGCAACTTTGTTTTCCCAGATATTAAAAAGCATATTGACAAAGAATATATCATAATTCCTTGAATAAAATGACAGCAACTAATGTAATAAGATTTTGCACCTTGAGAGTCATCTAACTTCCCCTTTCAGTGACTTTATATTCCCATTCAGGGATTATTATACCTAAGAGATCTAGAGTTTAGACAAGACAATAGTAATAGAGAAGTTCTAACTGTAAGGCTGATTTTCAACTGTTTGTTAGTATTTCCTTACCCATAAAAGACACTTATAATGACTTTTCTGTTCCCTAGGACCACTTGTAGGAGTAAACTTCACTATTGGTAATGAGATTTAAACATGAAGAAAAAAAGCTGGATAAGTATTAAGTTGTTAAGCTTGCCACTACAAGACTATATTGTTGAAGACTATTACAGGGATCATGGGAGTCTGCGATAAGCTTAGCTATAAAAACTTTGTTCCATTTCATGAACTAGGCTTAAAAGAAGACCCTGTGAATTTTTCTTTTTTTTTTTTTCCCTTTTGTTTAGGAAACTGAATATTTTAGGAAAAAATACGATATTGTTATCTCTGATATTTGTATTGACAGGTTGCCAAGACATGTTTGGGGAATCATAATGATTCAACATCTCGTTTGAAAGCAGCAGAAACAGAGACAAGCTTTCAGGTATTCTCTTTCAGAGTAATTGTTGGGGTTTTACTGAAAGGTTTTGTGAAATGCAATTACTTGAAGTATACTTATATATTCTTCACCAAGTTCTGTCTCAAAAGAGAAGACTACTTATTTCAGACTATGACTGCATCTGGTTGCAATTCATCTGTTCAAAATGTTTTCTGGCTGGTAACAATTTGCAAACTACTAAATATTTGAAGAACTAGTAGACAAGTGACTTAGTAGTCAAATCACTTAATTTGATAGTGTGATGTCTATATCCCTGGAAGCAGGAGCATGGAAAGATTTCCAAAATTTTATAAATATATATATATATATATATATATATATATATATGTATGTATGTATGTATGTATGTATATATGTGTATATATGTATGTATGTATGTATGTATGTATGTATGTATGTATATATGTGTATATATATATGTATGTATGTATGTATGTATATATGTATATTTGTTATATATATATCATATGCAATTATATGAAGCTGTGTGCAGAATCAGACTTGTATGGTTTTGCACTGTGAAAGTTGTTAAATATGCTTCCTTTAGTAGAGATCAGGACCCCTTTCTAGGCACAGTTGGCAAATACCATATTCTGCTGCAATAGTATATGATTGGTACATCCGTTTAATAAAAATACAGCTCTATGTGTACTATTGCCATGGATTTTTAACATATTTTTTTATTTTTGCTTATGTGTATCATATACACCATGTTTACACTGATAATGTTTTCACCTCTGCAGAAGCTGCACAGCCCTCCATGGACTAAACCTGAAGATAAAAAATCACCTGAAAAAAATGAGAAAAAATATGAAAAATCAGTTAGTACACAAGAAAACAAGCACTAAATTCTACTAATCTGCATTGAAAAATGCCAGTCATTTCCATCCTCGTGTTCTGTTAGCACAAAGGCATGAAATGTCCCAGGTTTCTAAAGCATGCATTTTTCACTGTTTTATGAGTGTCTGTAAATTAGTCTAGAACACACCAATTGGTACCTTACAGCAATAATCAGAAATGGATGTTTGAAGAAATGTTTTGTAATTCAGTCCAGTTTTTGAACTCTTATTCTACCTTATTATTAGTAATTGTATACTTAATTATTATTAGTAGTAATTGTAATTATTATTATTAGTAGTAATTGTATACTGTAAATTACTTTCTTTGTAAACAGTCACTCTCAAGTATTTTCTCAGTCTGTTTAATGTAATTTTGTGGCAGATAAAGTTTTAAGATTAAGGGGCAGTCAGTGTGTGTGTGGAAAATATCTGTGTAACCATATTTGAAGTACAGTCCTTAAGTGCAACTTAAGTGCAAAGAAAGCTGTGCGCGAGGGTCCATGTATACTTACCTTTTAGTAATTTCCTTTCAAATCTACTTACACAATAAAATATTTTATTTTGTTCTTTTTTTTCCTCACTGCTATATTAACTAGTCCATTTTTGAACACTGAAAAGCTGACAGAAATGGAGTTTAAGGGATGGAAATGGAGAGGATCATTACCAATTGCAGATTGTACTGAGTTATAATTTCTTAACTTGGATGGCAGCCATAGGAAGTCAGTTTCATTCCTTATATTTGTGCCGATCTCAACAGGATAAAATAGAGAATACTTCAAGGGGTAAAGCCCTATTTTGTCCACTACCGTTGTCCTTTGATCACTCCATCAGGAAGGAGCATATTGATTGGAGTAAGCTCTGTCACTCATGGATTCTTTCAGTTTCTCCTTAGTCACATACTGTATGACAAGAAAGCACAAAGAAAGAGAGGAGAAGGAAGAGAGAATGTTTTGTTTGTGTGTATGTCATTATTGGTCTAATTTAAGAATTCATATGACATATCTTGTTGAGATGCACATCTTTCAAGAAGAGTAGGAAAAGCAAATTGCCTGATGCAATGTTATGCTATCCCTAGAAAGATGTATTTTAAAGCAGTTGTAACTTGTAAACTTCCAGCATTGTCTTAATGCACACAGCAGCACATTTTTCACTAGATTTAAAGTAGTTGTAATAATTTACCTTTTGTTGCTTTGTATCAATTTAAATGCAAATAGACAAATCCTTTATTTCACTTAGTGGTATTCTGTCTTCAGTTTTATCATTTAAGATTTTACCTCTCCTTCAGCAGTCTCCTTCAATACCCACCTTTTCCTTGCTGGTATGAATAATCTTTCAATCTGACTCTGCGCACTTTGAATATGCTCCTCTACTCGAAGGTAGATAGTTGCAGAATGGTAGGTTTCTCTGCCTTGAGAAAATACAGTTTTAAAAAGAAGAAAACCTCATTAGCTGACCAAATGATGACAAACTACAGCCTATTCATTTTAAGGGTCAAAAGAAGTGGAATTGTGGCCACAAAATTAATCAGAAAAGAGATGGGGCTTTTTGCCTCTGATCCTAAATCTTGCTGAAGACAATCTGTTGTCTTTCAAAATTTTGAGCAAAACTTGTAATCTTGTCATGTCTACAGCTGGCATTAATTTCTAGTGATTCCAAAAGTGACATTGGTTTGCATATGACACACCTTAACTGAAAAGGTGATGAAACTCTGTTTCAGTCATCTGTCAAGAAAGGATCTCCACTGGACACTGGTTGAAATCCTCCAGGAGGACAAAAGCCTGTGAGCACAATGTTTCCTGTAGCTTTAGAAAGAAGCCTTTGTTAATAGGATCCCCTTCATCAGGCAGCCTGTAGTAGATACCAACTACATGGATCCTTTGCTGCATTGATCAGATTCTTACCTACAGGCTTTTGACTTGCTCATGGCTGTTCTTCAAAGACAGCTCACATTGAATCAATTTCTTGGTGTAGAGGGCAATCTCTCCATCTCCTTCTTCTCCTGTATCTTCTGAACAGGCGGTAGCTATCAGTAGTGATACTCCAGTCATGGGATTCAATCCACCAAGTTTCAGTAATGCAACAAGGTCATAATTTTCTAGCAGCACAGTGGTTTCCAGGTCCTCCTGTTTATTGCCCATGCTGTATGCGTTGATATAAGGCACCTCAGATTGTCTGTCGAACACTTCACCTTCTCAAAGGAACACCCCTCTTCTTCCTTTGATATAATTTTCTGGTGTTTTCCATGTCAGCTTTTATTACCTTAGGAGTCCTCAGCTTGTCCCCATAAGACTGCAAGTGCATTCCAGTGTGGCTCACTACAAAATCATTGGGGTGGGCTATCCATTTTAACCCCAATGCTTTCTTTCCCCCACCCAGGGCACATCTCTCCCATGCTGGTTTTATTGCCTTTCCCCTTCAAAGCTATCCCTCTCAATCAGCCCTGCCAACTCAAGAACACCATCCTTTTTCTCCTTTTAAACAGGTGAACCCCATCTCTCTCCATCAGGTCTGATGCTATATAAATCACTCCATGATCCAAAAAACTCCAAATTCCACCAATGGCACCAGTCTCTAAGCCACACATTGATCATGCAGATTCTCCCATTCCTTTTGGCATTCTTCCTTGCTACTAAAGGGCTTGAGGAAAGCATCACCTGTGCTCCTACTCCTTCAACCAGTCGCCCCAATGCTCTGAAGTTCTTTTTGATTCTGCTAGGATTTGATTGCATTCTCTTGTCAACCTTGTCACCGCCAACCTGACAACAAGCAGTGGGAAATAATCAGAGGGCTGAATCATTCCAGGGAGTCTCCTGGTAAACCCCTTACCCACACCCAAGGGAGACAGCAGAATTCCCTGTCAGATGGCATACGTGGCCCCCAGTTCCCCTCAGAAGGGAGTAGCCCAATACAACTACCCTTTATTATTTCCTGACAGTTGAAGTTGTGATCCATCTGGCTGACTGACCTATTCCAGATAAACCCCCAGACAGACCTTCTTCTCCAATATCATCTGCCTGACCCTCATGTTCAGAGCCTCATACTTGCAGTGTAAGGGTACTTGGGAAGGTAAGAGAGGCTGGGAGGGGATTCTCCTACCTCCATGAGCAGGGACCTTTTTCCATTCCCCCTCATGTTTTAGGTCCCCTCCTTCTGCCTGATGGCGAGAGGATCAGGGCTCACACAACTCTTGCTGAGCTTTGAAGAGTGTGACTCCACCAGTCTATTTCACTTTCTTACTCCCTGATATTCCTCAGCCTGATTAAACTGGGATTCGTTATAAATGGTAATATAGTTTTTGCTTTCATATTTATGTATTGGCTTTTGGAAGTTATTATTGATGACAAAGATTCTGATATAGTACAATTTGTAATCCCTTTTAACTGCTTTTTGATATAGTATAATCTGTCAGCTTTTGTATGCACCCTATAGCTTATATAAATAGTAGTGTGTTAATATATTATAGCTTAGACCTGCACATAGTATTAAAATAGAGACTGTGTGCTATTAAATACTTTAATTTGTGTAACTAACTCACATAATGGTGTGAAATAGCTATAGTGGTTCAATGTATTTGTAGACTATCTCATCTGAATGATAACAGTGACAGGACAGGACACCAAGAGAAAAATTTACTACTGACTCTCCAGTTATCAGGAAGTGTCAAAACAACAGAATGGAGCCTCGAGAAGAAATTAAATATATTGATTTAATCTACAGGATGATATGTAGAAAAGTCAAAGGTCAAAACCAAGCAAAAGAATTCACAGAATATGTAAACCCACGGGAATGTTTGAATATGTATAACCCTCATTAATATGCATTTAGCCAATGTAATGAATAGTATACATGAAAATTATTTTAAGTTAACAGGCTACTTTTGGCAGTTTGCCAGGCACCCCAGCACTGGATATTATTTCTTTTTACCTTTATTAAACTTAAAAAAAAATATTAAACAGTGACCCCTGTTTCTCACAGGATTTTTTTCTCAAAGACACCTTAAACACACATACACATATTGAGAGACCGCCAGCTATGCACAACCCTTCACAGAAGTAAACATGAACATCATTTATTTCTATCTTTAGCACACCTTTTATAGGGTTCTACAGGGTCTGCGGGCTAAGCAAGTTACTATTGGTTAACACATACAGGTTTACATTTTTTCTCCTATACACAAGGATATTGTTTTGCTTTACTCTCTCTTCTGCAGGAAAGTTTCAAGGACTTTAACTTTTAATATCGCAACTTATTCCAAAGGCTGGTTTGTGCAGACAGGCCTTTACTAATATATAAAATATAACAATTCCCCCTTTCTCTTTTTGCACAAACCAGGCTTTGGATGTGACTCATTCTATACTTTTATGAAGTATGTACAAACATACATACAACTTAAACTGTCATCTCAATTAACACTATAAGTAAAGTCCATCTTCCTTCCAGCACAAGAGACCTCAGCCATCCAGTATTGCCCCAGCTGGCAAACCAACTTCCAATAGGGTCACTATCTTCTTTCAGGGCATGTAACCCATCCTGTAGCTGGTGTAGTTGCTTATGGATGGAAACTGAATGATCAGTAAGATTCAAGCAGCACATGCCTTCAAACTCCTCACAACCATGTCCTTTTGCTAAGAGCAAAAAGTTAATTGCAGCTCGATTTTGTAATACTGCATAATGTACGCTACTCACATCAGCTGAAAGTTCACTTAACATTGTGGATGTTAAGTTCAATTCTTTCTTAGTCTAACAAGCGAGCCTTTTTAGAGTTGCTAAGCCTTAATTCATTCAGGCTTCGCTTTGACTGTTTGATGTTTTTTATCAGCCACATTCAGCAATTGATGTAAACTTGGATGGAACAAAGTAAGTTTCCCAAGATAACAGGGTCCTCTATGTGGATTAGCAGGAATCCCATTCCATGCTCTATCTCCACAGATTAGGAATATGGAACTAGGTAATCACCTTGGTAATTGTCCTGTGAGATTGCACCACGAATAAAGGCTTTACTTTCAGTGTGAGTAACGAGATCAACTATAGGGTTGACTGCAGCCCAGTGCTGCATTACTTTGTTGGAATGGCTTTTTGTCGGGGGCTCAAACATTATCCATCCACCTGAGGTATTGGTGGAACCTAACAAGTCCAATTCTTCCGGGGGCCCTATGGTGATATTAAGAACTTTGGTAATTTTTGCTTGCCAGCAGGCTTCAAGTTGTCTTAATGTGAAGTCAACAGTGCGACTGCACTCTTGCAACATTGCCAATCGATTCAGTCGAGTCTCATTACTAACTAAACCTTTAAATGCTTGAGGATAACATTCAGGGACTCCTACGAGACAGGCATGAAAAGGATCTCCAGGTGTGGCCAGTCTCAAGCACATTGATTTATGGCCTGTCAAATCTGCCAGAGTGACCCATATGTTCTGTCACTTTTGGATGTTAGTTACCAGACAGTTGGTCGGGACTATACACAGCACTATTACCATAAGCAGTTTGTTCCATGTAAATGACAGCATACTTGCAAACTCACAGCTAAAACTTTAATGTTAAATGAACTTTCAAAGATGCTTACACTAGCTCTTGAAGGAGTGGGATTGCTAATATAACAATTACTAATATATATAGTGTATATATATAATATAACTAATATAACAATTACTACATAGGCTAAACACTTTACCTTAAATTATTATGCAACTACTTTTAACACACGTGCTCTGGTATATACGTAGTCTAAGTGTGAAAGCAATTTGCTGAAAGGGTAAACACACAACTACAATTCACTTTATATAAAATTAGATGGAGTCTCTACACTCTTTTAGATCTTCTACAGAATTTCCTTCACAAACAGACTATGATTTAACACAATTCAGTCTTGGAACCTTCACTACTCCTGTGATGTCAGCTGGCAGCTGGTTGGTGACTGAGGGCTTTGATGTTCAGGTTGTTCTTCACATCTTTCTAAATCTTAAAACAAAAGATAACTGAAAAAAATGTTACAGTCACACCATCATAACAACAACATAAAATTTCTGTTGGTAAACTGTCTGTGTAGTTTTCAGACACAACTGTGTCCTGACGGGTCCACTTCTGATCCATGTCTGGAGTACTAAGGCTGTGTGATGACATCTCTGTTCACTGGATCTCATGTGTTCAGAGGCAGACAGTCTGGTCAGATGAAAAAGTGACTTTTTGAACCTGTCAACAAAACACAGACACTTCTCCCCTTGAAGTTAATGAATCATTTTGGCTTAGCTGTGGTACACTGCACTAGTCAAATGTTTTTAAGGCATCAATTTCCCCCGTTTTTTTTTTTTTTAAATAAAAATGAGATGTACTTCCATCATGTACATCAACATTAACACAAAACCATATATACAATGAATAAGGCCTTACAGCAGTTAAAAATCAATCAAATCATAAACATTACTAATAACATATGTAATATTAAACTACTATTAATTACTAAAACACTGCACCAGCATCCCATAGTTTGCAAACAAACAGAAACAAAAAAAAAATCAGTGAAGGATTGGATAACCACCTCCAGAAATGATTCTCCAAGCCCACTTCAAAATTGATCCAGCTGTCATATTAATAGGGTCAAATTGCTGAGTCAAAAAGTGACTCAGATACTGATTTGGAAAGCATCTGGATCTGTTGGCAAACATTCTGTCCAGGTAAAGTCAAGGCTTGGCCAGGGCCTTAGGCTTTAAATTGGAAAGATGCCTCTTAACTTATTTCTAAAACAAGGTTCTCAATAGTAGCATTTATGAGATGCTTACAGCACAGCAAACTGTTAAAATGGATTTGTAAATGTAAATTTGTACAGAGAAAATGATCAGAAGCCTTAGGTAACATACCAATTAAACCATTCAGCAGTTGGTTTAATCTGAAGCCTCTCCCATGGCAGCTGACTCTCAGCAATGCTACATTTTCTTGAATTTCTGGAAACACTGAAAAATAAGAAAGCTATTAAAAAAACCAAAAATTGCAGAGATTGCAACAGAACTTCTAATGAAGTCAAGGGTGTCACAGACTGCATTCACTTCTATTCGTAAGCAGGTGTTTATCAGTGTTCTATCACAGCTGTTTTAGTTGTATAGTTATCTTCATCTCTCTAGGAAAATAACTATATTTTGCAGTTTAGACAAGTGTCTCCAATAAAACATAAAACAATTTAAACTAAACAATATTTAAACCTAATAAAAATTAATTATAACAAAAGGAAATAAACAAACTTAACTTTAAAAGAATATCCAAGTTATAAAACTTAACTTAAAAACATTCAAGCTTAACATAATAAAACTTGACTTCTCTTAATTCTATTAACACTTACTCTATATGAGATAAAAACATAATCTTATTCTGCTGTTACAAAAAGGTAACTAAAAGTTTGATATATATACCTTTTAAACACAATATAACAATAACATGGATTCACTAGAAAGATTATAAAAATGTAACAAATACATCATAATTCTATGTCATCTAGCTTTGAGAATAACTCACAATAACTGCAAATGTTACTAAAAATACTTATTCATAACAGAAATTTGCCTAGTATATGCTTAAGTTGGTTAGGATTTTAAAGTGCAGTTTTTCTAGAGAAAAACCACAGCAACACAGGATTTGGCAAGTTGCCATTCAGCTTTTGTAGCACTTTTCAGAAACATTAAGTCAAATTTTTAAACTAAAATCCAAAATCCAAATTGGTATATATGCAGTTATATGTGTTTTATATAACAAAAGGACTCACATTGAAATTACCTTATTAGAGTTGTGGAAAAAACAAGCAAATAGATAAGATATGCTTTAACTTTGTCTTGTACAGTAAAGTTCTCTTAACTAACTATTTTTTAAACCATAAATCTCTTTTGTAGACAACATTAATTGGAAGGTTTTCTTAGTAGCTGTAAATCATACCACATTTTAACCTTAGGTTTTAAAGCTAATTATTGCAAGGTAACTTCCGTTAATATTCACCTTAAACACCTTTTTTTGAAAAGGGGCCTTTTTAAACTTTCAAAGAATCACAATAATTTCTCTAGTAAAACTCTAAAAATTGCAATCTGCATAAACTCAGAACTACTTAAAACACAAAATTAACTCCAAAAGGGCATACAAAAACACCCCAAAAAACCAAGGAATCATGACTTTTTAACAAACTGGGTACTATCCTGGTGCTTTTTCTTAGAGAGAGAGCAGGGGGGGTGAACTGCCCGCGCTGCTGTTATCTTTCTTCACATTCTCCACATACTCTCCCAGAGAGGAAAAAAATGGAGAGAAAGAAAAAAAAATTTCACAAAGTTAACTTTAACAAATGCAGTTATTTCTCAATCTCTCTTGTTGTTCCCCGGTAGAGGAAAAAGGGCACGATTTTACAGAAGCAGGTGATGTTGCATGAAAAGTCCCTAGGGCCAGGTGGTAACAATGGTGACCATTGCAGCTTATCAACTTTTAATTACAGTGATGAATTTCGAACTAGATATCATATAGTTCATGATTTTTTGGCTATTTTGTCTCCCTTTGAAGCTGTCTGAGCCACCTATTTCTGCTCAACTGCTTCTGTAATTGTTCAGCATGGCCTTGCAGCTTTTTCTGCACTGCCTCTGCCCTGGGGCTGCCTTTGTTCTTTGTGCATACCTCAGTGCTCCCCTGTGTCCCCCTGGTTCGGGTGGAAACCAATCTAAATTTGGCTTCTTTTCTTCCAGGGTAGTAAAGTTGGAACTTAAGTAAGATTGTAGTGTTAAGAGTGTCTCCAAAAGTGAAGCAAATAGTTCAGGACATAGCACTTCCTGCCGTTGCTGAACAGATTCTCTTAGTTGTTTCAGTGTTTGCTGTCGAATTTCTTTCTCATTATTTTCTTCTCTCTGACTCTCCTCCCTCTTTCCATGGGCAGCATAGATAGGAGTGCTTGCCCAGCAGTGGGAAGTAAAGAAGT